GTTGTCTTTTTTATAGTAAGTTTTCTGTGTGTGATGCATGTCAACGTGCTATGAGTCATCAGTTACCTTACAAAACTTCTGTTCATGTTACTTCATCTCCTCTTGAGCTTGTCCACACAGATGTTTGGGGACCATCTCAAGTTTCGAGTTGTGGTTTTTAAATATTATGTTAGCTTCTTGGATGATTATAGTCGTTACACTTGGATTTATCTCATTAAGAATAAGTCTAATGTTGAGAAAAAAATTTATATCTTTCAAAATCATGTTAAACGTCTTCTAAATACAAAAATCCGAACTGTTCAATCTGACTGGGGAGGAGAGTATCACAAACTCCACCAATAATTTCAACGAATTGGTATATCTCATCATGTGTCATGTCCCCATACATCACAACAAAATGGCATAGCTGAACATAAACACCGTCATATTGTTGAAACAGGGTTAGCTTTGTTAGCTCACCCATCCCTTCCTGTTCATTTTTGGGATGAAGCTCTCCTCACAGCTTGTTATCTTATCAATCAATGGCCCAGTCGCACAACCAACAATGTGTCACCTATTACTCGACTTCTCAAAATCAAACTTGCTTACTCGTTTCGTCATAGTTTTGGTTGTGCTTGCTGGCCAAGTCTTCGCAAATATAACTCACAAAAACTTGAGTTTCATTCTAAAATGTGCACATTCCTTGGTTACAGTTCTATCCATAAAGGCTATAAATGTTTAGATCGAACTACAGGACGTATCTATATTTCTAGAGATGTCGTCTTTGATGAATCTTGTTTTCCCTTTGTGTGTTCTGGTGCTACCACACCCTTGTCTTCATCTTCAGTTGTGTCCTTCCTGCAACATGAACCAGAAATTTTCAATGACCATATGAATAGATATGATTTATCCATGCTTTTGTCTAACAATTGTGATGCAGCTACAGCTCCGACATCAACACCATTACCAGTCTCTTATCAATCTACCAAGCATGTGCATTCACCATCTCCATCAAGTGTTGATAGTAGTCTCGTGCATGAGAACCAACCCAATTCGGGTAGCACAAACACTGTTGTAGCCCAGCACCAGGTTGATAACACTATTGCAGCTCAGCCTCATGTTGATAGCCCTACTATCACTTCTACTGTCAATACATATCCTCCTTCGCCTCCACCAGGTGTTCAAACGAGGGGTCGTGCTGGTAAATCTTTCCCACACAAATTTACAGATGGAACGGTCCTTTATGATCTTAACAAATGAGCTTTTCTAGCTGTTGTAACGTCACACCACAGTGCCCTATCAGATCTAGATTGGAAACAAGCTATGGAAGCCGAATTTGCTTCCCTGCAACAAAATAAAATGTGGTCATTAGTTCCTCGACCATCGGGTGTTAATATACTCAGTTGTAAATGGATATTTAAAGTCAAGCAACACCCTGATGGCACTATTGACAACCATAAAGCTCGCCTGGTTGCCCGGGGCTTTACACAACAATATTGTGTGGATTATTTTGACACATTTAGCCCTATGCTTAAACCAGCTATAGTGCGGTTGATACTCGCCTTAGCTGTTTCACGACGCTGGCCTCTTCGCCAAAGTGACGTAAGTAACGCCTTCCTCCAAGGTTTTCTACATGAAGAGGTCTATATGCAGTAGCCCCCTGGTTTTGAGGATTCTCGATGGCCTCACTATGTTTGTAAATTGCAAAAAGCCATTTATGGACTCGTCTCCCAGAGCCTAGTTCTCTCAACTCAGTGACAAGCTACTTCACCATGGCTTCAAGTCTTCCAAAGCAGACACTTCATTATTTTTTTTCATCATCAAGATATCACTATCTATATACTAGTGTATGTTGATAATATTGTTATTACAGGGTTATCTCCTTCAGTGGTCGACAAACTTGTCCATGCCTTATCTGCTTCTTTCCCAATAAAAGATCTTGGTCGGTTAAATTACTTTCTCGGGATTAAAGTTCTTCACAATTCAGGGGGGATCACTCTTATATAGTAAAACTATGCTACTGACCTCTTACATCATGCTCATATGGAGAATTGTAAAAGCATTTCAACCCCGATGTCAATAACGGAAAAACTTTATCGAGATCATGGAAAACCACTAAATGATGAAGAATTGTTCAAATATAGAAGCATTGTTGGAGGCCTTCAATATCTTACGTTGACACGACTAGACATTTATTTTGCAGTGAATAAAGTGTGTCAATATCTCTCATAACCAACGAACATTCATAGGGAGGTAGTCAAAAGAATTCTAAGATATGTAAAGGGCACGATAAATACAGGACTCAAATTTAGGCATTCAAATTCAACACCCTTAAGTATCTTCACGGATGTAGATTGGGCCGGGTGTTTGGACAATCGTCATTCTACAGGTGGCTATGCAATATTTTTTGGGCCTAATCTGATTTCTTGGAGTTCACGCAAGCAACCTACAGTGTCAAGGTCAAGTACAGAGGCTGAGTACAATGCACTTGCAAATGGTATAGCAGAAGCAATATGGTTGCAGATTCTACTAAAAGACTTAGGTGTTCGACAGCTGAGGCCTCCGATTTTATGGTGTGATAATCTCGAGGCAACGTATTTAACATCCAATCCGGTATTCCATGCTCGTAAAAAACATATTGAAGTAGATTTTCATTTTATTAGAGAAAAGGTGGCAATGGGAGCTCTTGATGTTAGATTTATATCTTCTGGAGATCAGATAGCTAATGGATTAACTAAGCATGTGTCTAAGAATCTGTTGGAACATCTAAAATGCAATCTTAATCTTGTGGCGGTTAAGATTGAGGGGGAATGTAAATGTGTTTCATAGTAGATAAGAGATCGATTAGTTTGAATATGTATGTTTTATAAAGATAGGATCCTGTTAGTTGCCTATTGATTATCTCTTATCTTGTATTATTAATATATAAATACAGATCAATACCCAAAAGGTACTTCACGGCAATTATCTCTCTTTTCACTCACATTAGTGAAAATACATAAATACCTTGTTCATGAATCAAAATTAATAAAATCCAAAATAAGTAAAGACAAACCCAATGTTGATATGAACATGAAATGCCAGATATATATACCTAAAAGTAATCATAATTTAACCTTAAGGTATCTCCTCCAAGAAAAAGAGCAATGTGAATAGTTTTTTCATAAAATTTAGTAGTGTGTACAACATATATGTACATTAGGCATTCCATAAAGTATTTCTCCTTAATCTTTAGAATAGAATGGCATGTCTCTCCTTTTGCTGCAGATTAAAATTCAATACAAGTGTTAAACATAAATTCCTACAAATCAGTTGCTCTAATGTTTATCTTCATTAATGACTAAATTGAAAATAATCTTCAGGATATTGAATAAAAAGTCAAAATTTTAAAATATAACTCACCTTGGAATTATATCTAGCACTTGGTGGATAAAAAAGTCAACGTAGTTTTATTAGACTCCAAACGTTGTTTAGTCACAAAAGTAAAAATATATATGCAAAAGAATACTTGAAATTATAAATAAAACTTATTATAAACTATCGAAACTGAAGAAGATGGTAATTTTTTGTCTATCAAAAGACACATTACCCTTTCAGACAAGAAAATATTCATGACACTACTTTCATTGATGTCCAGATTTCACAATAGGATTGACGTTTAATGCCCTTCCTGCATTGATCTTCATGCCCTTACTAATTGAGGAGTTATTTGTTAACAATTTTAGTTCAAAATTTCAAAACCTTTCTAATTTTCCTCCAAATTTAATAGTTCAAGTTATAATTGCTATCGTATTGTAAATAGAGAAATCGCGCCTAATTGGTCTATTGCACACCCTGAAAACGACATTGGTGATGGTGATGATGTTGTTTTCCCTTATTGTTTAGTATGTTGGCCGACAAGAGCTGTATATGGGTGTTAGAAGTTGCAGAAAAACAAAAATGACAAAGAAATTAAAGATGAGAGAACGAAAGTAAACAAATTAGGGCTAAGATTGGTCGTCCTTATACCCGAATGGAAATGGACATCATTCAAAACCATTAACGAAAACACTTGACTAAATAACATACTAAAGATTAGATGGAGAACTTTAACAATGGTAGGCGAAGGTGGAGGTGGAGCAGTATGAAAGTGAGTATGATGAGAATCGACAATGGTTAATCCAACGGGATTCGAAATCAAAGCACCATCGTTCCACTCTTTCACTTCTTTATCCATTCGTGTGAAGCTCTTCGTCATGGCCTCCTTCCATTCTAAATGATTATATGCCACTTTTGACCTTGTTCTTTACTATCTCATGCATTCAATCTTCCATCAAAGTGAGAGTCCTAAATCGATGGTTGCAGATCGTAGATAGACACAAACATGACAACCGAAGGTAATAGATGCAAAAAAAGCATAAAGCACTATTAGAAAAACAGCCTTTTACGATGCTCATTGTGCATCATAAAAGGCTCAGACGACGCGCAAATGCGCGTCAAGGAAGGCCCTGTCATAAAGAGAGACGACGCACATTTACGACACTCATCTACGACGCGCAATTACGACGCGCGTTTACGACACGCAATGCGTATCAAGGAAAGCCCTGTCATAAAGGAAGACGACACGCATTCGCGTGTCGTAACCCTAGGACACGTGTGTTAATGACATGCAATGCGTATCAAGAAAGCCCCTGTCAAGAAAGGCCATGTCATAAATGAAGATGACACACATTTTTTCGTATCATAATTTTTAATGTTTAAAAAAAATTATTTATAGATTTACTAATTTCAAATTAAATAATACATTAAAAATCTCATAATACAAAATAAAATACAATAAATAACAAAGATAATTCATTTCACTAATATGTCAAATACAAATAATTATTCCAAAAGTGAGTAAATATTATAAAAAAATGAACTCGTTTATATACAATTGCATCATCTAGCTTACTATGTGCCAACAACTCTCTGTGTGTTTACTTTTTCTTGAGTCTCATTTCCTCCAAAGCTTCTAGCCATGCCAAAATATGATATCTTGAGTCTCGTTTCAAGAACCAAAATCACCTTCAATCACCCAATTAAACTCTAGATCTTCTGTTGTTTGAAAGAAATTGATGTTTGTAATCTATGAACAAAAAATGCAAAGACCAAGGTTAACATTTGCTATATAGAAAGCACAACTGGACATATGAATATATAATACACAACATAAACAGTTTCATGAAAATGATATAGACAAATAAGTAAGAGTGATGATATTGATACCTTAATTATGCCATTGGTGAATGAAATTTTAATTGGTTGATAGCAATACTTGACTTCTGAAAACAAATAAACAAAGGATCACATCATAATTATCTCAATGAAGTAGTTCTTATACATTGTCTCTACCAAAAGATTCATCATGGAAACATTTTTGTTGGAAATAACTAAACAAAAACTTAAATACTAAGCAAAAAAAATTATAGTAATCACCATTTAGAGCAGGATGAGGAGTCCGATCAGGCCATATGCTACCATTTAAGCAGAAATTTAAGTCATTTGGTGTATCTCCAAAGTCACCTCCATATGCCCGGTATTTGCTACCATTTGCATTTTCCTTGAGTAACCCCTGAAACCAGATGCAAATATTCAGAACTACCCTTGCACCACATTTACAATTTTATAAAAAAATGGTAACTGACCTATTCGAGTACTGGGTAGCAGTCCTTCCTTCAAGTGTTGAAGCAATCTACAGATTTGACTCAGCTCCGATTCAGTCATTTGATATTCCAATCTAGGACCACCACCTGGAGGTGTCTGTGGATGCTTCAGGAATGTAGTTGCACATATAAATCAAAACATCAATTTTTATCCAATTTAATTTATATCAATAAATGATAATAACAAAAATAAAAACTGAATCAAAATTCAAACGAAACCTGTAACTGGAGGTTGTTGCTGCTGCACAAGACTAGGAAGTCCAGCTTGAACACCAACATGAGGCATGGAAAGATTAGCAATTCTTGAGAGTAACCATTAATTAGTACACCTTTTATTTTTTATACTAAAAGAAAGACCAATTTGATAGCAGATTAGCAATAATGTAACTTGATAACAAAAAAAACACAAAGAAGAAAAGGAGCCACAAATGGTAACACAAAGTAATAATACTTAAGAATGCAGAGGGCTAAGGACCTTTGATTTATCAATGCATGCATCCTTGAAAATTTAAATACAGGAAGAGTTAGCTTCTCTCTAAACAAAGGGTTTGCATTAATCCAAATGATTGGTCAGGTGAAGATGATTGGCCAGGTGAAGATGAAACAACACCAACAGAAATGGAAGGTCTTACTGAGAATATATGGAGTTGTTGCATTAATCCAGCTTGAGAGACTATAAAAAAAGGGTAAATATGGGGGAAAATATATAATTATGAGTGCATAGGCATACCTTCCATCCATTCACAATCGTATGTCTTCACAATAATCAAAATCCCTTGGAATATTTTAAAGCCTTTTTGCCTTAAGGCTGTCAACTCCAATTATATAAGACATTGTACACTTACTAGTACCTGGACAAACCATCAATGTATTTTCAAGAATTTGCACTTATACAACAACCTGTTAAAAAAGTAGTTTATTTTATAGAGCATAAATAAACTCTGCATTTTTTTTGGTGACAATACTAAAAAGCTAAAGAGTCATATAATGTAAGGTTTCTTTTCAAAGTTTCTTGGACTTTTTTTCTATTCTTCCACTGTTATGGACATTTGCTATATTGGTTTGTTATCATTTTGTCTTTAACTATCTCTTACATTGATCATATCGGCTACTTTTGTTTTTGATATCTTTTTCCACTATTATGGACATCTGTTGCATTTTGTGTTTTTGACTTTTTTGCCCTTAGCTCTTCATATGGTGTATTGCTGCAGTTTTGGTTCTGTGCTTTAGGCTAGAGACTTTTGTTGTCAAACAGGGGGGCTTCAAACTTTATTTGTGGCTTTTAATATCAGAAAAATAGTCTTATATATATATATATATATATATATATATATATATATATATATATATATATATATATATATATATATATATATCATTAATAATATAAGTATATATCATGATCATTTTAGGTTTAGCAGTAATGTAAAATACAATAAAATATAACTTCAATATTATTGTGTTATTTGATCAAAAAGGAACAAATCTTTCATTATTTTTAATTGCACAATAAAGAAGTTATTTATTAAAATGCGTGTATAATTAATACTAATGCAAATATCTCTTAGCTCAACATATTTGATAATGTTGGAATTTCTCCAAGATCAAAACAATGAATAACTATTATATAATAACAAAATGGATTTATAAAAATTCTTAAATAAATTCATTTGTTATTTACTAATTTACCCATCATTTACATACAGTAGAGTAAAACGGTGATTTACTCAAACTCATAGTCAATTTAGCATGCATTGGAAAAAGTTACCTGAGTAAGAAAGGCATAGACGTTCTTTCTCTGGTCACCTGGAAGTTGAATGACTTTCAAAACAACATAAAAATGTGAGAAAACCGAATTTAAGAGAAAAAAAATAATAAAAAAACAACAAGTTGAATGACTTTCAAAGATGTTCTTTCTCTGGTCACCTTGAAGTTGAATGACTTTCAAAACAACTAGTCTGCAACTCTTTGAAATCAGGAAATCTTAAATGAGCAAGCTTGGACTTGAATGTTCGTGGTGGTACAGCTGTTGCCCCAAGAGCCCATAATGTCTTTAATAAATATCCAAATGCCATTCCAATCTCACCCTATCATCATACCCATAGGCCATAGCCATAAAAAAATCAATAATCTTCTACTTGTTTCTTTGCTGCTATAACTATTCTTGCAGAAATACAAATGAACAAAACCAATCATTTATATGGGACATTTAGGGCTAACTACATTAATGATGACCAACACCAACTGATCTGTTATGGAGTACAAGAAGGGCAGACATCAAAACAAACAAATTACAAAACCATGTAAGTAGGGTAAATTCAATTTCATTCTTACTTTCTTCTTTCATGTATATGGTATACAAGAAGGGCAACACCAAATGCCCCTTTTCCAAATTGCTCAAGCACTTCGTACTGATCCATGTAGATACCAATGCATTTCACTCTGTCGTATACACACAGTTATAAAACCATGTAAGTATAAAATGTCTTCAAAAATTGTTGTGAGGTTCAATATAAAGATCAAATCATGAAGATACTTTGAAACAACACATCCACAGTGAACAGGATGCAAGATTTTTTTTAAAATAATAAAATTGTTGAGTAGAAAAAATCAAGTTCTTAAAGATTTCAAGAATGTCAGATTTGAGATTAATCCCACCAACCGGGTTTGTTTAGGTGGAATATTTCACAGTATGTTACTTTATCAGGTGGAATCACAATTAAAAAACTAAAAGACATCATCATTACTACCAAGTTCCTGCCACTTCCTTGATCATATAAGCATTATAATGCATCAACTGAAAACACAAACAAACCTAATCAGCCAAAAAGATGAACCAATGAAAGAGATGAGAATAAAACCTTGAATTTTGGTACAGTTCACACAAGTCTGCCACCAAGTGATTATAGAAATTGATTTTAGGGACAATATTCTTCAAATTACCTGCTCTATAAACGAAAAAAAACCCTAATATGTTGTTAGAAAACCTTGAGCAACCTAATTCGATTGTAGACTTGATTTTTTGCCAATTGAATCGCACAATAGGGATGTGAATGTGTATCTGATGGTATCTCTCAAGTCTACCTTTGCTAAATTCTACCGTTTCCTATGTGTGCATGAAGAGCCGCAAATCTGTAAATGGTACCCTACGATTCGAGAGATACCACCTTGAATTGACAAATGATGTGATTCTCTCATCTGTATGAACTCAAAAGCAAACAAACATTACCTCTATTTTACATGTTTTGAAACCCAAAATTGTGGATTCATCATTGGAGAGGAGTGAGGCCTGAATCGCCTATACCAAAAACCCTAATTCGTTGGTGTCTTAGTCGATAACTTGTACCAAAAAACACTAAATCGCTATGAGAGAGGAGTGTGGCCTGAATCACTTTCATTGAGATGGGATATCTTGAAGTGGAGATGTATAATAGTATGATAAGGCGGGGACACTTTACTCATGCGACACAATTGGACGAATCAAGGAGGTAGAGCTAACCCACAGGAAATCTATTGAAGTTCCTGCCTCAAACCTTGCAGTTGTCGTAAAAAAAATACACAAAAGTATTAGGCTAACAATATACGTATAGTTGCTGGTCGCTATTTTGTGATCTTTAGAAATGAACACGAGTTTCTAAGAAAAAAATTGTAGAATGGTTATACGAGTTGTCGAGGTGTATAACAGAGAGGGTATTGTGATTAGGGTTTGCAGAGAGAAGGGAAGAAGAGAACGAAGGGAGATCTGAAGCGGGGTATTTAAAAAATTGAGAATTTTAAGAGAATTTCGTTTCCCACTTTTAAGAAACGCGCCTTTTGAGTAAAAACATAAAGTGACACTGAGAGAGGATGCACATTTTAGATAAAGTGCCCTCCGTGTTTTTAATTTTTTTCACATCAGACACTAATTTAAGGGTACGCAATAATGCGTGACCTAAATCCTTCAATTTTTTGAAGAGATGACACTTTTTTAACATCACTCTCTTTTGCGTAACATAAATCAATGAGTGTCGTGGTTTGCGCATCGTAAAAGGGTCTTTTTCTTGTAGTGAAGGCGATAATAACCACATACGCAGACTTGAGCATTGGGAACCAAGGTATGAAAATATTACATGTAGAAGCTATTGACCAATTAAACGACTCAAAAGTTAAGACATAAATCAGATGTCCCGTGAGGAAACTTTAAGCCTCACATTGCCTCCAGCGACTGGCACCAACAACCCACGCCATCGCACCACCACCACAACCAGGACCGGTATGCATTGTTGGTTCTTGTTGAGGATAAAAAAATTACATTGATGAATAAAATCAAAAGGTGAAATCAAAGGAAACCTAACAAAGAACGAAAGTGAAAGAGAATAAAATAAAATTCAATTGCACAAAGAGAGCGATGTGGTGGAGTTGACAGCTGAGAGACCAATCAGGAGAAGGTAGAAAGAGACAAAGAAGAATAAAGAAGATGATCAAAGCGTATTTGAGGCAGTGGAATAAACCAACCCTAGTAAGTTAAACCAACCCCATGAACAGTACCTGTGGTTAGGTACTGTTCATAAAGGGGATTGTAAATTCATATATATATATATATATATATATATATATATATATGTGTGTGTGTGTGTGTGTGTGTGTGTAGAATGACATAAATAAAAAAACAAATGGGAAAAAACAGAAATTAAAAACGTAAAAAAATAAAAAAAATAATAATAAAAAGATTTATCAAAAGCATTTCCTTAGAAACGTATTTCATTAAAAAGACTCGGGATGTCATGTTCGATACAGTACATAAGCATAAACAATACAACATAGGCCTTACTACATTATTCCGTATTTACAGGCCTATAATCACTTATCTCTCATCCAAACATCTATGCTCATGCGCCACTACCTGTAATTCAAGAAACTTAGTGGGTCAGGCTTGGGAGCCTGGTGAGCACATAGGGTTTTCAACCCACAATAATTAAATTTATTACTTTCATCAATAAAGCAAACCTGATTACCCTTTCCCATTGTCCTCACTTTACGTCCCTAATACATGTAACACAAGGGATCTAGTCTAAGGATTTTCATCGGGGTGACAGTACATGCTTCCGGGATTCCTTGGCAATATATGTCAATAACGAAACCATGTGAGGGATGGAGTACTTCTGGTGAGCACACAGTTCAAATAAACACCTACAGGTTGCGAGCCTGCTAGCGTTCCACTAGACTGTCTACAATAGTCTGTGGTCGTCATCTATACTCTGCTAGATGACTAGGTCATCAATGACATCTATAACGAGGCC